CTTTTCGCTCTTTGATTAACATATTGGTGGTCCATCTTAATGGGTTTCATTGTGATATTTCTATGCACACATCCAGGGTGTGTTGATGAAATGCAGTTTGTTCTTATCAACCCTTCTCCCATTCATTTGGCAGCCTGTATTAACTAGGATCCTAATTTCCAGTCAATTTTCTTTAGCTTCCACACATGAGAAAACATGAAGTCCTTATCTTTCTGTGTCTAGTTATTTCACTGAATAAAATGTCTTCCCTCCTTCCATCTATTGTGCTGCAAAGGACACTATTTCATTCTGTTTTATGTCTCTATAATATTAGAATGTGTATCTATGCCATATTTTCCTTATCTGTTATCTGACAGTGGGCGTCTAAATTGATTTCTTATCTTAGCTATTGCAGGTAGTTCCATAATAAACATGGGCATGTGATAAACATCTCTTCATATGCTGATTTCATTTTCTTTTATGTTTACTCACAGGTGAGATATCTACATTTTACAGCAGTAGATCAAGTATTTTTGTTTTTTTGGGGGGGTTTTGGTTTCGAGAAACCTCTATACTGTTCTCTATAATGTCCTTACTAATTTTAATTCCTTCCACCAGTGTATAAGAAGTGAATTTCTCCCTCTGGGGAAGGGTGCAAGATGCACTGATGGTAGTTCCTAGGCTCAGGTCTACCACGAGCAGTCTCTGTGTCTTTGTCCTATCCTGGACACTGCATCTCCAACTGTATGTTTTCAAAACATACAAGTCATGGAATATACTGAATTCCTCAAAGTCATAGATTCCGAATTGGCCTGAAGTGTGTCAATTTAGCATGACAAGTAATTTTCTTGCACAAAATTATTAGCTTAAGTATTTATCAATCATAGCAGCACATGAAAATATTTGTTCTTTCTTTTTTCTACTAGCTGATAACTGGACAGCAACCTAGTACATTTAAATCATAATCTTCAGGGTGCTTTCTAGAAAACAAGAAATATCAATATTTTCTGTTTTATCTGTTATTGGAAGAAAGCCTCCTCTAGAGAGATGAAAGTCCACTCAGCTTACTGTTTGTTTATGTGTCAAAGAGTTACATATTGGATTAGCAGGAGACCATAAAAGTTTGGATAGCAAGGTCACAGTTATCTCAGTAGGAAGAGAAGACTCCAATGGATCCAGTGGTGGCCCTGGTTCTTGGTGTCTCCTGTCTGCTTCTCCTCTCAGTCTGGAGACACAGATCAGGGAGGGGGAAGCTCCCTCCTGGGCCCACTCCTCTCCCAATTATTGGAAATATCCTGCAGATAGATGTTAAGGACATCAGCAAATCCTTAAGGCATGTAAGTATGCTTTGTGCTTCTTCAGTTACTTGTGAAGGCAAGTCAGTTGACCCCTGGTTATAAAAATAGTATACTTCTGGAGGCACACTATTTAAACAGATGATTGTAAAAGAAAATATTCCCTGTAAACCTTGATGTCATGTGCCACATTAGCTCCATGTTTTATACAGGATTGCTATGAATATAGAACTTTTCTGCAGAATCAACAATTATGCCTGAAAGCAAAGAAATAGCGTAAGGATTTCTGCAATAGCATGAGGTCACATACAGCAAAGGGAATGAAAGAGACACAATGAGTCAGTGTCCAATTAATGATATCAGAATGTTTTGGTTGCTGCAGAAATTCTTTGCCTGGGGCTGGGAATGGAGAAGGGTAGAAGAAATGGTTCTTCCAGTGGATGTTCATGTCTTGTTTCTGCCTCTGCACTGTGTACTCTGTGTAATAGCTGCAGACCCCAACCATGGCTGGGCATTAGGATCAAGCGTGCTAACTTAAAAATACAAATTTCTAGGGGGTCACCATAGGGCTATCAGCGTCTTCTGGAAAGAGCTTTGAAGGTGATCCTGGGCAGTCTCTTCAGTATTGATTCCAAGGTGGGCAGAGGGATGCGATAAAGTGCTTGAGCATCAAATGTTGATTCAGTGATATTCCAATTTTGTTCTCTTATCTTAGCTCGGAACAGTGGAAATGAATTTGCATTCACTGATCTCATTTTCTTTGTTAATGAAACAGGGCAAATAAGACTGCTGAATGCATTGATGTGAGGATAAATTTTAATCTGTGTATGAAAAGCCTTGAAATTGTGTAGTACATCAGAAGTCATCCAACAATGGCAGCTATCAATCATTTACATATGAAATGCAGAAATATTTCCATCTCTGTGGGGTAGAATAAAACCATAAAATGATGATAATGATATCAGCCAGAATCAGCATGATGCATGGTTTAGGTAGTGATTTGGTTTGTTAATATTTGCATTTTTTCCCCATTTCCAGTTGTCAAAAGTCTATGGCCCTGTGTTCACTCTGTATTTGGGCATGAAGCCCATTGTGGTGTTGCATGGATATGAAGCTGTGAAGGAAGCCCTGGTTGATCATGGGGAGGAATTTGCTGGAAGAGACTCTATCCCAATT